TTGTGCCTATTCATACACCTTTGATGAACATGCACAAGTCTAGAGGTGTTGGAGAATGTTCATGATCTTCTAATATGAGTTTTGCATAGCACTAAGCATGGCTTTGCTCTGTGTTGGTTGAATTGTCTCATTAACTTTGGAAAGCAAATTTGTATCAGAACTTAGATCATTTAAATTGCTTATTGGTTGGGAGAGGTGAATCGACATCAAAACTCTTCTCTTCTCATTTGCATTTAGTTCAAATTGAACTGTAATGATATGATGAATTTCCGTTATACTTTCTTGGCTTTATGTGAAGAGCATGTGGGCAATTACATGAGAATACCTCTTTTGTTGAATTTTGAGAGAATAAATTTATATCAAAACTTCTTTCTCATAATTGCATTTTAGTTGAGGTCTAATGTCAAATAAGTGGTTTGCTTACTACTTGACTCAGAAAGGCATGGCTATGGGTTTTCACTCTCAAAATATATATAGCTCCATTGGTATCATTCTGTAAATAATTTCATGAGTTACTTTTGTGATGGAAAATTCTATAACCTGTTTGGTGTCAAAAAAAAAAAAAAAAAAATCTCATAAGTTCTCTTATGGTTGAAAAGCTTTGTGGAATACGCCATGTTGAAGAGTATCTATTGGGTTTTGGAGGTGGGAAGGCATTCATTAGGTTTATGTTTCATATGAAAGTTGTATGTATGGATTTAATACAATGATGTTATAAAACTTTATCTTTTGGCGGGTTTCGTAAGTGTTTTGGGAGAAAATTCGGAAATAGTTGTAAAACTTATTGTATACATTTGTGACCTATTAGAATGAAGATGAATGTGAAATAGTTTATGATGTTTTATGTGGCGATCGAAAAAATGTTGACTTATTTTGTGTTTTCCCTCGTTAGGAGGCTTTATGAGTTGTTTTATAATTAGAAAGTTTCATGAATTCTTATATTATTGAAAGCTTTATGAAAAGTTTTTGCAAGTTATTTTATGTTGAGAAGTTTTATGGTTTGTTCTATATTGGGGAATTTTATGATTTGTTTTATATGAAGGATATTTGTGATTTGCTTCCTGATTGGAAATATGTGTAAATGGCTTTATGTTAAAGTTTCATGAGTGGTATTCAAAACAAAAAAAATATGTTATAAGTTGTTTTATATTGGAAGAATTTCAAGAATGATTTCATGTTAAAAAGTTTTGCGAATTGTTTTGTATCGAGATGCTTTATGATGGGTTTTGCGAATTGTTTTATGTTGTGACTTGTGAATGTTTCATGATGGAAGGATGCCTCTCATTGAGAAAACTTTCACGAGTCTACCTAGGGGTGTAAACGAGTCGAGTCGAGTCGAGTCGAGTATTTGCCTTATCAAGCCTGGCTCGTTTAGTCCTTAATGAGCTCGAGCTCGAGCTCGAGCTCGAGATCGAGCTCGATTAGTAGGCTCGAGCTCGACTCGTTTAGAAAATATCAAGCTCGAGCTCGACTCGAAAGCTCGAGCTCGTTTGAAAAGCTCGAGCTCGAGATCGAGCTCGTTTGAGAATTATCAATGCATGTGATGGGTATTATTATATATATAATTAATATTATAAATATAATATATATATAATTATATCGAGTAGCTTGATAAGCTTTCGAGTCGAGTCAGGCTGAGCTTGAACTCGAGCTCGTTAAGCATTCGAGCTCGAGCTCGAAGCTCGATAAGCTCGGCTCGCGAGCTCGTTAACGAGTCGAGTTCGAGCCGGCTCACGAGCCGGCTCGGCTCACTTACACCCCTAAGTCTACCCCACTCCAAATGAAAGTAAAAACACTTGATTGTTGGTTATTTTGTAAAGTTTTATGTCAAACAAAAAAAAGAAGAAGAGAATTTTGATAGATGATTTATACATAATTTCATGTAGCTTTTCATTCAAAAATTTTCATAAGCTATGTTTGAGTTCAATAATTTTTGTGAAGTGCATTTGTGGTGGTAAGTTCTTTAGATCTCTCTTTTTGGGATGAAGTGATATATCTTGTATAGGTTGTCTCTCTTTTATTAGTATTTGCTTCTAAATATAAGGTTGGAAGAATGTGGTGGATAGAAAGAGATCTTGTTTTAGTTTTAGTTTTTGGGAACTTGAGTTTCCCTTGTTGCTTTGAGTTTGGTAAAGAGTGGTTTGTATAGTTAAGTCTTACTCAAGTGCTTTATTTGGATTGTGGGGACAACAAAGGGCATTGTGAATACCTTCCTCCCTATTCGTATCATATCGAATTAGGGAGAAGGCTATTTTAGAGACACACTTGGCTTCAAAGAAGTGTGTCCAAAACAACAATGCATACATTTATTTTATATTTAATTTTCATTTTTTTTTCTTTTCTTTTGCATTTAGTCGTCTCTCACTTTACTTGTAGTCTTTCTACCGCTTCTTTATTTATGCTTTGCTATTCGATGTTTGCAAATGTCCTAGGAGTTAGAAGTAAACTTCATTTTGTCCCCTTACAACACTAGTGATACCTAAGGACAAAAGGTAAGGACCGAGTCTTAGATAACATAGACTTAGGGTGCATGCTCCCTATAAGATAGAGACATCAAAACACAGAAAATTTAGTGACATATTTTTCTAGGTTTAGCAGTACTTAATCTACTGATAATCAACCAATCAAATCAACCTTAATTCAATTCTTAAAAATGCACCAAAACACCTAATTTGTATTCAAACAATAACTAATATTTCATAACCATTAAAATACAAACTCAAATCAAATCTAATCAAACTCTTAATCAACTCCTAACAAACCTAAAATTTAAAAGATGTAGATTGAGCTAGTAAAACAAACATAAACTAAAACTCATTAAGTTAAACAATCTTCTAAAACTCAAAATTCATTAAGTCATCTAAGTTTTAATCAAACCTTAAGCTAATCTCTTAAAACCAATCAACAAATCTTTTAATGTAACTATATCAACTTGGTTTTAGGATGGACTACTCCGGGCTGCGGGACTAAGTGTCCTAAGGAGGCATGGTTCCTCGAGCTTATTGGCACAACACCACGAACCAGTTGATAGCAAACTTAATTAATCTAACCCATTAATTGATAATAAATCACCTAAGTCACCTTTCTTTTTAATTTATAACAAACTAATAATTCAACAAAATTGGTTATCACTAGATAATCCAGGCCTACGAGGCTATTAAGTTAGCCCCAAGGAGGGTGAAATAAACCTCACGGCCTCGGTGTGAAACAAAGGTGATAATCAATCAAATCTTAAAATAAAATCTCTAAAATCAATGCTAAACCACTAACATTTAAACTCTAATCAAAATCTTCATTTGGCCTTTAACAAATCAAATACAAATAACTTGAGCTAATTACCCAACATTGGACATAACTTTAACTACACAGCTTGTTACACACACCTCAGATTTGTTTGGTTAGGACACGACCTCTAGCCATAGGTTAGGCTAACATTCTCTTTTGTTGTTCAGTGTTTACTACATATACATGTTCTATAAATGCAATTCTTAAATTTTCTGTCAGTTATATTTTTATTTACCTGCATTTCTTTTTTTAATGTCATCTACGCTAATCTCCATTTCCGATGTACCTCGGAGCTTAATGATCGAGGATCGAGCGACATCATTTGCTTGTAAGCTTTTAAGTGGCAGCGCCACAGCCAGGTACATCGGGTCTTGCACACTCAGGAATCAATAGACAAATTACCTGCTTATATGTCTATAAAACTGAAATCACAAAGGAATTTGATCATAAAAATGTGGGTTTGTGACTTTGTGTTTTTAGCAACTTTGATATGAAAAGTATGTGTTGGAATCTCTTAAGGAGAGGCCTTGTTTGGAGACACTAGAGGCACTTCAAGATAGTCTTCGGACTGTGATGATGTCCAAAAAGTTCTTATTTGTGCTGGATGACATTTGGGAGAATGACGAGAAGCAGATAAAAGTAAACTGGCGAAAGTGCTCGCCCCTTTGGCTATGGGAATTTTGGTAGTAGGATTTTGGTAACAACTCGAATGGACTCAGTTGCAATGATGATTGCAAATGTCATTAAAAATAAGAAGGAAATATTTATAATTTTAGTCGGATAAGGGTGAGTTTTTCTAGCTTCTCAACTCTCGTGCATTTACTAATGTAGAGAACCCTAATGTTCATAAAAGTTGAAGAGCCATTGTTAGAGAGAGTTAAAAAGCTTTTAGGTTCTCCATTGGTCATTGGTGGTATTCTAAATTCAAGCTTGGATGATAGGCAAGTAATGACAGTTTTAAAATGCAATTTAAGTACTACAACATTGGGTCAGAATTATATATTTTCCATCTTAAGATTAAGCTATATATGTTTGTCAAATCCTCTACAAATTTGTTTTGCATTATGTTCAATATTTTCACAAATTCATGTGTTCAATACTGATGATTTCGCCCGAATGTGGATTGCATTGGGTTTTATTCGCCATCTCATATTCAAGGAAAGACTATTGAGAATATCGGAGGAAGGTATTTTGATATTTTAGTCAAAAAAATCTTTCTTTGACTAGTTTGAAGATTTAGGATAAATCTAGAATACTACAAGATTCATGGTTTACTATATGAGTTGGCACATAATATTTTTTGCACAGGAATGCCTCAAAGTTGTAAGCATAGGAACGCCCAGAATATGTAGAACCTGAAGAGAATATAAACTTTCCAAGGAGGAAGGGAGAGACTGTTAGGATTAGAGTAATGAAAATTACAGCTTAGAAAGAGAAGACTTAACTTTCAGAAACTACTGCTCCGCCTCATTTGGGAAATGAAACCACCTCATCATTATTCTTAATTGTCAGCTTTTTAAAGGAGGCGATACTTCAATTCTCACCTTCTCGGGCAAATTTATGTGACGCAAGTTTGTAAGGTTCTTAATGTCAGGTAAAAAATCATCACCATAAGGTTGGTTTTCCCATGGGCTATCATAGATTAAGTATTGCAAGTGATAGAGATTGCTTAGAGATCTTGGCAGCATAGTCAAACTACAACTAACAATCCTTAATTATCGAAGATGTTTTAAATTTCCAATCTCCTCGGGTATTACTTTTAAGTATGAAGCAAATACGTATAATAACCGTAGGTTTGTCGATGCTTCGAATATTTTTGTAAGTGCACTAGAAATATCCTCATCAGAAGCTTTATAGAACAAGAAAAGAGAATGCAAATGTTTAAACTTCTCAATCTTTCTTAAGATGTATGACTTTGCATTTAGAACAGACAAGTGTCGAATAGTCTCAGAAATTTCGAGAAATGACCTTTCATCATCCAAAGCATTAATGCATTCTTGTGCAAAAAATTTAGATGCTGGCTCATGTATTAAATCATGCATCTTGTAGTCATCTCTGACAATGAAGTCATATTTGACCTTGTCAAATAAAGCTTTTTTGAGTAAAACATCAAAATACCTTCCTCTGAAATCCTCCATAGTCATTCCTTGAGTTGGCTGAATGAAACACAATGAAATCCACATTTGGAGTAAATCATCTCTATTAAATAGATGATATTGTGGAAATTTACAATAAAATGCAAAACAATTTTGTAGAGGATTTGACAGAAATATATAGCTCAGTGTTAAGATGGAACGGATAAAATTATCATCCAATAAATTGCTTTCTAGAACTTTCCTCCAATGCGATTCATCCAATTTGTCTCTTAGAACACCACCAATGACCTTCGCTGCCAAAGGAGATCCTAAAAGCTTTTTAACCATCTCTCCAGCAATGTCTCTTAAATTTTTCAGGGGGGTTCTCTATACCAGCAAATGCATAAGACTTAAGAAGCAGCAAACACTCATCTTCCTCCAAGCCCTCTAATCTAAATATATCCACCTTCTTTGTAATGACCTTTTCAATCAACATTGCAACCGAGTCCATTCGAGTTGTTACCAAAATTCTACTACCAATATTCCCATGAGCCAGAGGGGAGAGCAACTTCTCCCATTTCCCATTATCTTCCTCCTCCCAAATGTCATCCAGCACAAGTAAGAACTTTTTTGATATAATCCCAGTCCGAAGGCTATCTTGAAGTGCAGCAATTTTCTCCAAACATATCCTCTCCTTCTTAAGAGATTCCAATATATCTGCAATGACTTTTTTCACATCACAGTTGTTGGAAACACTAACCCACGTTTTAAGATTAAATTCCTGTGTGATTTCATCGTTATAGACATGTTGCAACAGAGTTGTCTTTCCCATACCACCATGGCCCACAAAAGATAGAAGAGAAATGTTTCTATACAAATCAGTTCCCCGATGCTCATTTGATGGCCTCTTCAACCACTTCAACCACTGCATAACAACATCCTTAGCTCCCCGAGGCTCATTTGATGGCCTCTTCAACCACTGCATAACAACATCCTTAGCCTCCCTTCTACCGATGAGATCATTTGTAGGGAAGGATCCTGTTTCACGTTCTTCGGACAACTCACGCTGCTGCTCCTGCTTTGCGCCATCTATAAGACGAAGAAAAGTACTAGTACTAACCTCAGCTGAAACTTTACCTAGTTTCTTCACCTCCTCCTCAAGCCTCTTCAAGTTGGGATCAACTTTGACAGCACGTTCGCCAATTTGGCGAGCACCTTTAATCAGGAACCTTGGGTTTTGCGAAAACGCAGTACTTTCCTGATAAAATTAGCGAGCTTTCTGGATACCCGGGCTGACTCTGAAATGCAGAATCCCCTGGAGTCTCCGGGTCCCGTGGTTGCCTCAGAACCATTCACTGCAACGTTTGCGTTTGATTAGAATGCCCTTTCTACTGTCTGTTTTCTGTGAAATAGATTATCAAATAAATATATTTATTTGCAACCAGTATCAAAGAGGTAGCTGATGATAAAGAACGTACCTTTGTTTCTTCAATGTTTTTTTGGTAGCTTTTGTTTATGCTTCATGTACTCAAACTCATCGAGCACATCATTTGCCTCATCAACAACATCTCTGATCGATAATTTGTGCTTGGTTAGCGGCAGAGATGACAGCTTGAATCCTTGGGGTCGATCTCTCGCAGCCTTTCCAGCTCCTTCTTCATGCCTGTCTGCCATCTTAATTGATCTTTAAGGTAATCAGAGCAAGTCTTGATGATATTTTCAATGATTGGACCAACAAACCATCCCGCCACCTCCATGGCACCCAAGATCGAGGTAGAGAGAGCAGAACAACTGAACAGTAGGACCGAAAATTTGTTCATTATAGTTGAGCTCATGTTTGAAATTATATTGTTTCTGAATTTATTTGTTATGAAACAAAAACCCTACGCAAACAAGAGAAATAGCAAAAACTTCACTTAAATAATAAAGATTCACAACGAAAACAAGATAATAATGAACTATACACTTGAGTCACATGACTCAAACAAGAATAGTAAGTCAAAAACTAAATCATTTAAAGCCTGTCTTGCAAATTAATTTAAACAAAAAAATAATCCTTAATGTTGCTTCACATTTATTTCACAAGGCAAAAAATGCAAGAAAATCTACAATGGTATTTGCCCGCTAAAGGCTGATTTAGAGGGATATGGGAATGCTAAAATTATAAATGGCCAAATTGACTTTAATTTGAAATAAATTTGATTTAGTCGAAATCATATTGATTGAAATTATCCTGGTGTGATTGAATTAGACCAATTGAATTCATTTTAATGAAATTCAATTCAATTAGATCTGAGCTAATTCAATTTGAGTTAAACGAGCTTGATTTAAATTAATTTAATACAAATGAAATCTTATGCATCCTCAATGTCATTTTGAAAATGAGGACATCAAAGCAAAGAATTGTATATTGTCAAGAACATTTTTTTTTTTCATAACAAAATAAGATTTATTGAATAATAAAATGAAGGGTACAACAACCTGAAATACAAAACAATGAAATCTCAAAAAAATTAAACATAGTTGGAAAAGCAACGGAAGGGGACTCAGGAATGAAGACCCGCAGCACCAACCAAGCAGCCAAACACGAACCATTCGTAGGTGACAGAATACAATCGCAAGCCAAAATCCAAAGCCGAGACACTTAGTTTGCCAGCCAGCTCAGCCAACAAGGGGCAGCAGGGGCCTCCTCATCATCGTCCAACAAACCATCAAAAGGCACCAACATAATCACAAGAGCCAAAAAAGAAAACCTATTTCTTCTTGGCTTTTCTTTTTTGCTTATTACCACTCGCATTAAGAGCACCACGCATAGAAGAATGATCATTCTCAAATTCATTATACTCAAATTCTTCCCCGCTAGAAGGGGAAGAATAATCCTCTAAAATCAACAAGTCAGTTTGAACCAAAATAGAGTTTTTCATAGACTTAGCCACCTATTCTTACATAATATACCTATTTCCACATTAGACATTATCGAAATAGATATATTTAACAAATTGACATTGCCCTCCAAGCCTTTAAAGGAGGAGGAAACATCTGGATTCACGGGACAACCGGGTGATGGCAGATTATTAACAAATAAAACATGAATAAGGGAAACTGAAGAACCATATTGCTCAACGACCACACAAGGCAGTTCCACCACGGCCAAACCACACGGGATAGGCACCGCACAAGATAAAACAGGTTTCAAATTCACACCACAATTCTTAACACCAACGTCAATAACACATAAATGTGGGGCATGGGCGACAGGAACATCCCCAACCACTATAGAGTCCACATGGGCTAAATTAGGAATAAAAATAGCAGGTGAACCCAAATTCTCCGAAGGACCAAAATTAACGGCCGCTACAGCATTCGAAGAATTATCCACATCAAGAGACAGCACAATTGGGGTAGGGGGAGAAGAAGAAATTAACACAGGATTATCCAAAGCCTTGATAGGAGCCTTATTAGGACCATCCCCCTCAAGACCAAAAAAATTCCCTGCAACAGGTTCAGCAGGCACAACACACAGCTAAATCATCGACATTGGCAACAACAGTCGTAGAACCGTCAAGACAACCAACCTCCAGAGAGACAGCAGACACAACAGGATTATCAACCGACTTGACTAAACCAATGTTCGAACCAGGTTCCACAATAATTCCATAATTCGCATTTATAACTGGCTCAGGAACATGACGTGCCTTCGCCAAACGCGAATGCAAAACCAAACACTCCGCATTGGAGTGACCCAAAGCTTTGCAATGCAAACAATAAATAGCATGTAATATATTAATATTTTGGGTGTTAAATATGTAAATAGCATGAAATAAAGTGATGTGTATGTAAATTTCCCAAGTACATAACAAATGTGATTTAAAAGAAAAACAGTCTGTAAGGTCCTAACGGTGCTCCCAAAAAAGGTTAAATTTTTAAAAGGATCATACTTTAAAAAGAATTGTACTAGCAAAAGCTTTTTGATAGAAAACTCAAAGAACAATTGCGTTTTCAGCAAGCTTAAAAAACTCTTATGCTTTGTGTTTTTTAGCTTAAAACGGAATTTTTTCCTAAAGCCGACCGAACCACATTCAGCTTGAGTTTTTTGCACGCATACGTTATAAACTGTAATTTTTATTTACCTTCAATTTAATTTTTTTTCTGTTAACTGTAGATTAAATCTCTTAAATATATTTTTAAGGATAAATTTATAGAAAAAAAGGAAAATTAAATAAGATATTTGATAGTATTTAAAAAACGGGGGGTGGGGATTTTGGAAGGAAAAAAAAAAAAAAAAAAAAAGACTCCCGTAAGGCTTATTCCTAGGGAGGCGTCGCGTAAAGGGTATATGGAGAGGCATGAAGGGTTTGAATTTGAAAGAAGATGAGTTGAATTTGAAAGGGGAGGACTTGATTATGACCGAAGAGGTGTCAAATTTGAAAGGAATGGGGTTGAATATGATCGAATGGGTGCTGAATTTGAAGGGAGAATGTGGGCTTGTGATGAAAAGTTTAGGTGCGGGCGGAGGAGGGATGATTGGCACAATTGGGGGGAACCACCCCCTTAAAGAATGGGAAATTTTGGAGGAAGTAGGGTTGAGGAAGGAGATCTGAGAGTGGGCAAACTAAAGATGCCTATTTTTTAGGGAGATGATGCACATGAGTGGATCTATAGGGTGAAAAGGTACTTTACTGTCAATAGGTTGACGAAAGAGGAAAGACTGACGGCAGCTGGCCAATGTTTGGAAAGGAAGGCTTTGGCTTGATACTAGTGGAGGGACATGCGAAGACCCATACGGAGTTGGAGGGAGTTCAATGATTGCCTTTTAGAACGATTCCAAACCGGCAGGGGAGGAGACTTCTACGAGCAATTTTTCACCTTGATACCGGGAGTTTTCTTAAAGGGTGCTTAATTAAATGCCTTCATTCCCATTAACACTTTGTTACAAAGAAGGGACTATGGACTCTAATTTCCAATGTTGTTGTCATATTGAGAACCTAACTTTGGCTCATGTTGAGACACTTTAAATGACAAACTAGAGTGTTCCTAATCTAAGGCAATCTATAAGTTCATCGCATAATCACAACATCGCACATACACAATCAATCAATCAACCAAAGCATTTGCATGCATCCATCAAGGTCATTCAAATCCTATTGAATCTCAAAAATGATTTTTTATTAATTATCATCCAAAATGTATAATAAAATAAAAGTTAAACCTGTAAAAATAAAATCAATCAATCCAAAAGTCATATCTACTTCGATAACGAGGGCTTGCACTCCGATTTCTATCTATTGGAAAGTTTTTGAAGGATTGTGATGAATGCTAGTTCCTATCAGCTTCTCCTTGGATGGTATTCTTTGGCAACCAAGGGCTTTTTGACCATCATTGATGATGTTTTTCTCTGCTAGATGTTCACATTTTGACTTGCATTATGAGTCCTGCTTCTTTAGCCTCTTTTAGTTGTCCGCTGCTACTCATTTTTGTTGAGCACTCTCACAGGCTGTTTTTCTTTTAAATCACACTTATAATTTCCTTTTACATGAATGAAATGAGTTCACCCAAAAATTTTCTTAAAAAAAGAAAGTATGATAGTATAATGGTTATGGTATTATGCTTATTGTAATTTTCTTCTCACATGATATCTTCAGTAAACAAATCTATACTACTGTTAAGCGTTGTTTGTGAATCTTCCCACACATCTTGATCGTTCATTCCAAAAGACTGAATAAATTCTTGCCCTTTATTATTATTTTGACTGTTTGCATATCAACGCATCCGTTTCCTTTCTTATCATCTGATGAAACCCTCTCGTTCGCCTCTGCCTCCCCCTCTCTTGCACGACCTGAAGCCCGCCCTGCCTTCGGCCCTTTCTCACGCATAGGTAACTCTACCCCATTTCTTCTTCTTGCTTCTTCCTCTACTACCCTTATTATTTTTCTTCCTCTCTATTTCTTTTTCTTCATTCTTTTCCCCTGATTTTTTTTTTCTGTTTTTCCCTTTTTTCCCTCTGCTTTATTTTTCCCTTTCTTTTCTCTATTTCTTCTTCCCAACAGCCGCTTGCTTCCATCATGTCTTTCTAGTTGTTGGAGCCGAGTTTCTTCCAGCTTAACATTTCCGAGCTCAACCCTATTCACCTCAGTAAGGTGAGCATATGCATTTTTAATTTCCCCTCTGTTCGATCTGAAAAAAAAAATATTATGTTTATCTTGCTGAATCGTTTCTTTTAATGAAATTTAAATGGTTCAAATCTTATTTTACCAATTTGAGGAGTTTTATGAGTTCTATTTTTATTCTCTTAAAAAAGCAATAGAGCAAGTCTTATTGGGTGCCTACTGTTCTGACTCTTTTACATTTGACA